TCATCTGCAAGCTGCCTTAGCGAGCAAATTTCATCAAGACAACCATCAATTTCTTTTACATAAAAATTATAAAGAAGGGGGCTTAAACATGAGCCCTGGGGGAGACCCATGTAACTAATTCGTGAAGTTGTCGAGTTGCCATGAGAAAAGCTCATATATTTCTCAGACAACAAGTTGCTCAAATAGTTGTTCATAATTGGTGAAAGCCCACTATCAAAGCTAATTGAATTTGGTTTTTTGATAATTCATTTGATTTTGAAATACCGTTCAAATTGATTTTCACATGATACTTTTTTGAAAAAATTGTTTATTTTTCTTCCGCAGCAAAGGTTTGACGTTGGGTTTTAATCCACTAATAGAATTTGCTGAAGTACAACTATGTTAGTGATGTTTTTTTCATCGGGATAAATTTCTGCTACGGAAGAAAAATCCCAAGGAAAACATTTACATATACGCATACCTGACGTAGTGTGCGTACGATAAACGTCATATAGAGACTTCTCGTTTTCGCACCGGTGAAGCGGCGCCAACAATCGCGAACTATTGTCAACTCAACATCACTGGTTTGTAAACAAACGTAAAACTAATTGCTGGACTCCCCAAGTAACAATTCAGACTGAACAGTAAGAACATACGCTTATTATTGGTTGATTTAAGGTGTACAAAGCTGATTAACACGAGGATGACTATATAGTTCATTAGTAGCAGGGTTACTTCCACTCATTTGTTATAAAAAAAAAAATGGTTTTTCGAATTATGAAAACATTAGATGCTATGATGATAGTTAGTTCTTGGAAGTTATAAGAAGAGGTCGTAAAGTATCCCGAGCAGGAGAAAATAACTAATGAATACCAAATTCTGATATGATACCAAAATTTGGTGTTGACCAGCATGACATAAGAGGTAAAATACCAAAAAATTACATGAAAAAACCTTTTAAATACCAAAAATTGATATTTGGATACCAAAAGAATACCTGGGTGGTATTGTGTTGGTATTGCATTATCATAATTTGGTATTGGAACGGTATTGTGGGAACATTTTTTTGGTATTATTTTTTGGTATTCTACCTTTTATGTCAGGCTCATCTATACCAATTTAAGGTATCGAGATATTCGTTCCTGCTCGGGATGTGTTTGACACATAAAACTTGTCAATATTGCTTTCAGTGCGTCACATTCAGAGATTAAACAATTCGTGAGCGCTCACTCTGCTGATTGTGACGCTCTGAAAGCGAAATTGACAGGTTTTATGAGTCAAACACATACTTTACACCCTCTTTTTGCTACTTACAAGTACAAGAATATGTTTATATCATCTAATGACTTCATAATTCCGAAAAACATTGTTTTATAGCAAGTGAGCAGAAGCAACCCTGATTAGTAGTGCATGAAGCAAATTGTATCCCCATAATCCAACCTCAATAAGTTAGTTGATCTAAAGATTGAACAAGCCCTATTTAAGCTTATCACTACTCCACAAATCAGCAATGCGTTACACAAATGTCGTCAGTGCCTGTGTCATTCTTGAAGTTTCGGTATTTTAGTTCTTCTAAATTCACTGCCTACCTTTATAATCCCAAGCAGCGGCAGCAGTAGAGACAAAGAAAAGGAGCTTTTTAGGAATATCTCCAGGTAGAAGTTGGCTGCGACGACGTCGGAAGTATTTACATTTGTATTCCTGTGTTTTGACTGTTACATTGCACTGAATTTTAAGACCGCATTCCAAAAATATTACTCAATTATGGCACTAATATAGCATAATGACCGTCGAAATAAATCACGTCCACACTTGTGTCCACATTGTGTTAACTGCACTTTAAAATGAGAGAAATGTTTTAATGTCTACTCTACAATTCTACTCTTCCGGTTGCTGTTATTCAACTTAAATATGACGTGTTTCAAGTTAATGATGATACCTTTTGCCACGCATATGCTTAAGTGGTCCAGTAGGTACGGTTAACGCGTGTGAATCAGCGACTGCCGGTTTGAATCTCGAAAAGCAAAGGAAAATTTTAGTCTTATAATAACAATATCAATATGTACATCCATTTAGTCAGCAACAAGGTGAAGCAGTTGGATTAAAGTATATAAGATATGAAGCAGTCTTCTAAAAATTCCAATGGATGTTGATGGATCTTTTTCAGGAGATTTAAAGAACTTCCAGAGCACTTCCCCAAAACAAAAGTATCTTCCAAAATTCTTCGGAAGGTTTTCTGGAAGCTGATAATCTGGCGGGAGATCAACATCCAGCGTAAGTAAAAGTGCTTTTGGAACAAGTCGGATGAAACTTTCCGAGAATGCTTAGAGAAACTTCCGGAGGAAGTCGGAAGATCCTTTCGAGGCAAGTCTTGGGGGAAGACAAAAAAAAGCTTCCGTGATATATTGCAAGAATTTCCCGCCAGCAGTCAAAATAAACTTCTGGAGAAAGTCTGAAAAACCCTCAAAGATGGTGTCGGAAGAAGCTTCCGGAGGGAATCATACGCAATTTTGGGGATGTCCCAGGAGAACTGGATGAAACTTCCGGTGGAAGTCGTAATATACATTTTAGCATGGAACAATCAGGAAAAATCTTTCGGGAGTAGTCGGAAGGCACTTTCAGGGGAAGTCAGAAAAAAAACATCCAGGGAAGAATTTTTCAAATGAAATTGAACGAAACTTTCGGAGGTAGTTAGAAGTAGCTTCTAAATGAAGCCTGATGAACCATGGATTCGGTCACCTTGAGGCATTTTTCATTGGAGGATTTCCACCAGTACTAGCTATTGAAGGAACAATCCCTGCCCTTTGGTTCAGTGAGGATTAGGGCGCGTTCTGAAACTTGGCAGGCCGATGCAGTTTTCGTGTAATCGTGCAATCAATTTTCTTCCAAAAAAGCACTGGAAATGGATTAAATATACACACTTGATATTGAAGGAAGTTAGGGAGGATATCGATCAACGGAGTTAAATTTTTTAATTTTTTTTTTGGGAAAAGTGCTCGATCTATCCTGGATTTCCATCCACTTAGGGTAAATATCTAGTAAGGGAGAATATCGCGTAAGAGAGAGTTGTGAAAAGAGGAGAATTAGACTCCAAATTCAATATGTGTCTCGATGTTCTGCCTGTAGTGGTATGAAACTAAAACCTTCCCTCCATTCACTTCGTCAGTGTCCCTACTGGCTATAAGCTCTGAAATTCTTCAATTGTTCATTTTTGAGAGCATTACTGCCTCCTGACAAAACTATCTTGGAAAACTTGGCGAACCCCTTTTTAATTTTGTATCACCTCTTTATGCACCTCTTGAGTATATGCATGGAAGCTGTAGAATGCTCATTTGTTAGCAACAATCGTGAATTATCGGCCTTAAGAGATAAACAGTTCATTAGAATTTGTTCATTAGCATTATTCTTCTTCTTTTTTTTCCTTTATTTAACGTCGGTCTCTGTTCCGTAATCTAGTGACAATCACCGACGGACATCGATTGCCATCCATTGACGGCAATCAAATGTGCAGGAAGGCAACTTCCACACCTGCGTAGGATATCGCACCCATTCAAACACACATGGGCTGGGGACAATTCATTAGAATTATATTGAATTCATTTCAAAATTTAAATTCAAAATCATAAAAATAGGGGGAATGGGCGTAATGTTGGCCTAAATGCCCCTAATTTGGGTCCATACATAAATTCAGCAATCGACTAAATTTTCAATAGCGACCAAAAATTTCCATTAGTACCTCCCAAGTAACAATTTTAGTGTTAGTGAGGGTTCTTTAGACCATGATTCAGACTTTTAGTCTTCTTTGTTATCAATGAGTTGCTGCTCAAAAATTAAACTCTTAATTTTAAAGCGATTTCACCACTCCTCGCAATCCTCCGTTGTGCTGATATCAGTGCTACAAAATCTCGGCGATATTCAAAATTCTGCTTTGGTCATTCATTTGAGCTTACAGATATTGTCAAGGTAAACCATGCCAATTTTCAGTGACGACCCCGGCGTAGTGGTTAGCATTTATACCTCTCACGCCAAAGTCACGAGTTCAAATCACACCCTCGGAAAAGTCACGAATGACCCAAGAGCGCTGAAATGACTATAATAATAATAATTATAATAATAATAATAAAAATGTACAGATTTATTTTATAAACTTAATTTGTAACAAAAATATATGACAATTACATGGAGCCGTTAAAGTGAACAAGCATCTTCGTCCTGCACTGCTTGGATTATAATAATGTGACACAAAATTCACACTTTTAGTAACCAGGTGAATCTTTGTCATTGGCGAAAAAATTAATGAGATTTTGACGAAGGTTTTGATTATCAAGTCTGTCAGTGACTGTGTGAAAAACAATGTTGTAAATATCACGTGAAAGTCTGTCAATGGCAAGGACAAAATCTCACCACTGACTGATATAAGAAAAAAAAAAAACTGCTCCTTAAAGATAGTATCACTCACTAATGATAGCGCAAATTAATTTTGTTTCCTTGATTTTGTTTAAAAAAATTTAATAAAGCCATAGTATGTACAACCCTTTATCCTTACTATTCATCTTTACTCTTTGTAGTTCAATAAACTCTTTATTTGTGGTAAATTTAGCTATTTTTCAGTGCTTTGAAACTTGTCCCGGAATCCCGGGACTTCCCTCTAATCGTTTTGATGACCCAAAGCACCACATCAAAACGACTTGCCAATCAAAATCGGTCGATTGTATCGTTTCCCTTATGTTTATTTGTCATTTTGAATCCAGTCGTGAGCTACATCAACCATGAACAAAACCTGGTACGGACTTCAAACAACGTAAACCGGCATAATCAACCTAGACCGTTCCCTTCTGGCAACAAGCAACCATTTATGCTTTTGAGAAACCATCACCGACGACGACCTTTCATTTCTCGTCCGGAAACTGGATCCGTTCCGGTGAACCGTAAAAACCTTCCACTTTTTGAGATCCCGTGCACATGCTAGCAAGGTAGGCACTTGTACCCAGAATATTATGAAAGAAATAAATTCCACTCACTCTTAGTTTTCTGCTTGGACGATCGCCTGGTCTCTTATCTCCAGACGCTGGCTGCTACTGCAGGGTACTCAGGCTGCCAACGATCCTTTATCTCGTCGTGGTGAATTCGAAATCAGCTACTACCGTATCTCCTCTCAAATTGACTTTTTCACCAAACAGCACACGGTTGAACAAGCTTCACCTTCTTTATCGCATTTCGGGCAGAGTTATTTCTTCTACGGCGTCGTCGTCTGGCTACAAAAATTGCGGCGGCTTTATCGAAGGGCACGGTTTTCCAACGAACAACAACACTCGAAGGCGCGCAGAGAAGAAACTCACAAAAACGCACACACTAGCACATTGAACGGTTCGCTCCGCACCACAGAGGGAAAATTCGGAAACACAACTTTCTCCACCTTCCGCAACGATTTTCCACCCCGCGGAGATCCGTTCTGCGTCGGAGATTTCTTTCTTCTGGATATTTTTTTCTCCTTTAATATAATTTGGTTTGCTTGATTTCCGAGTATTTATTTTTTTGCTATTCTCAATTTTTCACTTTTCAATCACCTTACTAAGTTTTCTTCACCGCTGTCAAGAAGCAAGCATGAGACGGAGGAAAAAAGGTCGGAAAAGTTGCCTACATCCGGGGCTATCGATGGAAAGAAGAATTTTCCTCTTCACTTGACTACATCCTCAATACACACAGGTTCCGTTTCACGCGATTACAGGGCTCTCCGGGGAGTCTCCACACTCGTCTCCCGCTGACTTGTTTGGTCTAACCTTCAGGAAACGCACCACATACTTCCACACACATTAATCGACCGACAGACCGAACGAGACGCGAAAATCCTACGCGGAACTGAAAACCAATCAACTGAAGGGACGGAAGTGTATTGTAATTTCACTGGCAGTTTTCACTCGATCCGCAAAGGTCACTGTCTGCCACTCTGGGACCCAGTTGTGATGGCAGGCTAGGACAAAAGTCGAGGACAAGCGATAGATTCCGTATTCCTTGATTCGGGAAATTCCACAGAGGCCTCCAAGAAGATGGATAGAAGGAAATTCCAGCACACGGAGAAAAGGAAAATTTTGACTCCCACCCAACTTTCACGAACTGGTCGGGTGTTCGCCTATCTGTCTGTGCCCCGGTAGGGTCGTGTGGATGTGTGACACACAGTAGTCTTCGGGAGCACACCAATATAACGTATAACACACTATGCGATATCAAGCTGATGTGATGTGATGTTGTTTTTGTGCACAATTGATAATGATGTACAGAGAGAAGGAAAGAACGCGCGCGCGTGAACCATCCCTTGCGAAGGACACTCTACGACTGGCAGAGAATTTCTAACGGCAGGACTATCAGACACCGTCGCAGTCGCTGTCACCGTCGTCGTTCGGGGACATCGGGTCCCGTTCGCAACATTGTTGTTTTCAAACAAATCTCGAATCGGCAGAGAGGCAGACAGGATTCGAATGTTTACGGAAGAGCACTCTCCCTTGGCCGCGGCATCGCTAGCACAAAAGGATTGGGAAAATCCAAAGAGAGAGAGAGAGAGAGAATGAGCATGAGCGCATGGAGTGAAAAGCTGTAGCCGTAGATCGGGGGGTGAAAAACGTTAACGAGGGTGAGAAAATGGCATGCGTGGGATTTGACATTTCAAGGGAAACGTCAGGACTGTGCTATAAAATTGGTAGCAGAAAAGCAATGGTAGCGCAGTTGTACCCATTGAGAAGATTCGATTTTATTCGAAATCGTAAATGATCAAACAGGAAATACTAAACACATTTATGTTAATTATAAACATGCATTAATATTATTGTTAATAAGCGCAAATTTTTACCAAATTTCAAACACAACAAATACATCCTTACGTTAGAGGAAATGGTAAAAAACAGGAAAGCAACTGGAATGGCTCACATCTCTTCTACAGTCCCAACATGTGTCGCATTCAAAATATGCCGATGAAGCGAGGCATACCTGATAAAGTAATTTAACCGTCATGTGCATGACGGGATACCCCTCGCATTTGAATAGCACGAATTAGAAAAAAAGCAAAAATTCCTATCGCACATAACGGTTAATAGATTCTTGCATTACTATTCATTAAAATAATACATACACACTTAGAAAAAACTAATTTTACACGTGACGGAATCCATCTGACAAAAAATATGAAACCTTAACCGTGTCTTGTAATTTTAAGTACTCCGAGACTGAAAAGTTTGTTGCTCGATGAAAAGTACGTTTGATTAAGCTATATTTCACGTCTGTTATGACTCAAATTTATGTCAAAATTAACGCTCGTGTATGTCAGCCTCAGGGCACCTAAATTTACACATTTTTTTCTAAGTGTGTATCTTGCAAAACCTTATAAGATATCATAGGATTAAAAAAAACATTTCTGATAATAATTAAGAGAAATCAACCTCTGGATGTTGCTCCTCCTAAAAAAAAAATGATTAGCAATATTTTATTAGGGTTGCAATCGATAACCGTCGATAACTTCAGCGTAAACATCTGCAATGGTGATCTTTCATTGGAGCAGTTCCACGTCAAATGACGAATCGGGAAAAATCGAATTGCATAAAACTTTGTATTATTGTGTGTTATGGGCAATCATTCTCATTTTTTGCAAACAGTCGGCCATTTTGAATGTTTTTTTTTTCAAAATGGCGTCTATGCCATTTTCAACAAATTGTAGCACGAAAATGTCACTACTGATCAAAATGACATATGAGGCAACGTTGTAGAGAACATTAAAGGCTTTCTGGGCAAAATGTACATAGTATTTTTGTGTTTTTTTGTGTAGGACTACGACTTTCTTTAAATTGATGCAAATAACGAAAATGGCGAAAGTTTTCAATCGCATCTTTCTCAAAACCATTAACGTTCCTGATGACCGACCAGGAAATTCTACGGATTTTCCAGATTTTTGGGGTTTTTTTAAAAGTTCCGATGAAATTCAACGGATTCTGAGACTGTTGACTCACCCTCGCTCATCATTTAAAAAAAAAACATTTTATTTTGGAAAGACTGTTTTTAGTAAAATGGTCACTAAATTTTGCAATAATTACCACAATGCAAACAAATGGTATTGCCCATCACAGTGTATACGACACATGGCGGTAGGGTTTACAATGAGAAATGTTCAATGTGTTGTCTGTTTGTCTGTGATATAACATTGAGGTAACGTTAGGATAAAATCAAAACATTGAGAAATATAACGCATCACTTTCAGAAATACTTCACTTCGCAACAGATGAACCATTCTGACGGCCATATAAGTACCCAAGTAACCATATAGTCGTAATATAGCTTGTATATTCTTACTTTGCATGAGTATGGTTAGTTGGGAAATCTGATGAAACTGACACGTCTTGAAACTGATCCCTTTCGTATTTCTTTCATTCTCTTTTCGCACACCGGTAGACCAGCGACTTTGGACGTGAGCCTCGTACCAACCAGCGAGGAAGGAGTCAACATCGAACCAGGAACGGAAATAAGTGCGGATTTGTCTCCCTCGGAAAACAAGAAAAACCTGCAAAAGGCGGAATCATGATAAAACTAACCAAGAACGAGCTACGGAAGGAAATTGCCGGTGAAGCACGGAATGAAATACGAAACGTTAGAGAAATAGAGCAGATTATGGTGAGAGCTGTCCAAATTATTGTTTACAAATTAAATATCAAAATTAAACTAAATACATGCCAGGGTTGAAAATAATATGAAGTGTGTACACCCAACCGGTGGATGTAGAATTAGCTTACAATTATGTGGGATTCATCATCAGAGGATGTAAGTGGAGACCGCATGAAACGAGGATGCGATATACCTAGCTGCGGTCCAATACAAGAAAATTGGAGACCGAAAAATGTAGAGTGTATTAGTGAGGTAAATTAATTATGTCGAAAAAAAAAATAGGAAAAAGGTTGCCGACTGGACTCGAAGAACGAACGTTGCGATTATCAGACCTGTGCTTTCTCCACTGCTCTCTCCATGCTTCTGAATAAGGAGCAAACAAGAAGCGCTCATTTCCTCTCACACTCGACTTCGTGTGCTTTTCCTGCTGGAGAGATTTGAGGCAAGTGTGTGCGTCGTTCTACCATGTTATACATAAAAATCAAGGCAAATGCTTGCTTGTGTAGGTGAAAGCACAGACAGAACACGAAATAAACAACACAGCAAAAAAATAATTTTGATATCACATCAAAGTGGATGCACTACAATCATGTCGAAAATTTCATGTAATTTTTATGACCACATAAATAAACAAATGCAGTAAAAGCAGCGTAATGTCAGTTCATGCATTGTATTAATGATAATTTTGTCCTTTTTAGCAAGTAATATTACACCATATTTTCGACATGATTGTAGTGCATCCACTTTGACGTGATATCAAAATTATTTTTTTGCTGTGAAGGCAAAAAACCATTACATCGCCTGCAAGGTCAACTTCTAACATTCGCTGCGATGTTCATGAACAGAGGATGATACGAAATGGAACTAACATTCATTGTAATAAATTTTTGGTTTGCGTGTATGTATAACCAATATCCATTTGATAATGGTGAGTGAAAGTAACCTCGAAATGGGCGTCCCAACAAACAATTTGAACTGATCAAAGGCTGAATAAGCCATTTTTTAGCTGAAGACGCATATTTTTTCTTGAATAAGCTCTTATGCTGCTTCCAATGTTTGTTGGGGTGACTCTCCACACCCAACTGGGGGATGTAAGATTCGCTTACAATTATGTGGGATTCATCATCAGAGGATGTTAGTGGAGACCGCATGAACCGAGGATGCGATATACCTAGCTGCGGTCCAATGCAAGAAAATTGGAGACCGAAAAATGTAGAGTGTATTAGTGAGGTAAATTAATTATGTCAAAAAAAATAGGAAAAAGGTTGCCGACTGGCTCGTAGTACAACGAACGTTGCGATTATCAGACCTGTGCTTTCCCCACTGCTCTCTCCATGCTTCTGAATAAGGAGAGCCTAAAAGCAAACAAGAAGCGCTCATTTCCTCTCACACTCGACTTCGTATGCTTTTTCTGCTGGAGTGATTTGAGGCAAGTGTGTGCGTCGTTCTACCATGTTATACATAAAAATCAAAGCAAATGCTTGCTTGTGTAGGTGAAAGCACAGACAGAACACGAAATAAAAAAGGCAAAAAACCATTACATCGCCTGTAAGGTCAACTTCTAACATTCGCTGCGATGTTCATAAACAGAGGATGATAGGAAATGGAACTAACATTCATAGTAATAGATTTTTGATTTGCGTGTAGGAAATACGAAAGGATAATAGAGTAATAATTCTAGCAATGCTGTCGACGGAAGAGAAAAGGAATCCGATTCCAGAACTTTCTGGGAGGGCAGCTCCGACAACATCGGTCAACAACAACAGAGCAGCCGACTGAGAAGAGCGAAGTGAATGCGGTTTACGAAACACTGGAAGCCGTCAAATTAGACGCTTAGAATTGATGGAAATACACAGCATATTGTCAATGGCAGCCTTCTCCAGAAATAACGTTGCGATGATGATCCGAATAGCATCAGTTCCAAACTGGGACTGCGGAAAACTGTTGACAGGTAACTCATCCGGAAGAAGGAAAACTTTCCGGGAACGATTGAGCTTCCACCTGTTCCAAGTTACGTAGACTCACTTCCTGAGTAACTGCTTCCAATAGATGAATTGCCCTTATCATGGATATCACGCAACTTGGAGTAGAACATCGTTGCAATGATCGCACAACAAAACTATCGAAAGATAATCAAATTTTGACGTTTAACTTTTTCCAGGCAACTTTGTCACAATTAATACCGTCATAAAACTAAACGGAATAAGAACAAGCAAAATGGTTTCAGATAAAAACAATTCAATCTGAAAATTATCTTCATAAAAGCCGTATTAAAATGTTTTGCATTTGTTAGCGATTTCATGAAATCAAAACAGCTTTTTGACAAATGGCTTTTGGAAAATTAATGTTTATGCTATCGCCATATTGTTATTATTCCATTTGCATTTTTGCAATCTTCGGTTTTTAAAGTTTTTCCTTTAAAATAACTTTATTCTCATCAATTCATCAATGAGCAGTAATAGAAATTACAAAAATCATCGAATTGTCTCGGCTGGAAGCAATGATTAACATAACAAGTAATCATATTTTGTTTCAGAAATTAAAAATAACTAGTCAAATCAACGTTTTCCGAAGGCGGACTTATTTTTTTCGATCTTTCGAAGCACATTTCACATTAGATTTAATCTGTCACCTAAAAATAGACCACAATATGTGTTTCGATAATTTTAGTAA